CAGTAAATCGGCGATCGGAAAGCACAAGAGACCGCACACGTTCGATGTTTTCATCAACACTGGAGGTCGACGGTCGTCCTGGCCTTGCATCATCCTTGCAGTCTTCACGGCCCTCACTGAAACGCTTAATCCACTTGAAAAGAGCTGTTTTCTTCAGTGCGTTACCTCCATAAACAGCCCTCAACATTTCATGAATTTCCTGAGAGTTTTTCCCAAGTTTCACCAAAAATTTGATGTTGAGTCATTGTTCCATCTGTTCATCAATCTCCATTGTTGAAAAGAGCAAAAAAAGGGCGCCACAAAAAAAATCCCGCCTCTAGCTGTACACTTGCCTCAACGGCCTGACGGTTACTGACGCTCCAGTGGGTCCCTTGCCAACAGAGCAGCCAGGGTGCATGTCTAAACATCACCTCAAGGCCACCCTAGTAGCTAAGTTCGCGTATTTATTGGACAGACTACGTATGTGTTTGGAAAACTTTTATTATGAAGGTGTATCCTTTCTGAATGTGTAACTTCCTTGAACACTCTTCTACTTCACTCTTGTGTCACCTTTCCAATACTTTTTGGCATATTTCTTGTACTCTTACCCATGCAGAGCTCAAGGGAGTGACACAACATATGATCTCCAGTATGCTGGGATATGTTCCCATGCCAGCTGTTGTGAAACGCATAATCTCTGACCCAGCATACTGTAGTCGGCAGTTTGGGGAACTTAGAGAACTCATCAATGGTGAGTTTTTGCTTCTATGGTATGCCTTAGAGGTAGTAAAATGATTTTTCATTTCTGTTCTTCTTACCCCTTAACAACTTTGTAGATTAGTGAAATCAAGTTTCTCATGCCTTCTGGTGGGCATAGCAGAGGTTTTCAAAGACTTCATGTCATGAACCAGTCCAAGAGCTGTTTCAGTCCTTTACTGCCATAACAATTTAAGTTGGTGAAGTTGTCTTTATTAGCAAGTGTCACCAACCCTGTTACATCTGTGAAAAACTCAGCACAGGAGTGTGTAGTGTCCATAAATAATGCAGCAGTTAAAGTTTCCTTGAATACTGTATTGAGGATTCATATTGGTTGTTTATAAATCTGGAATATGCTCCTTGAACCAGTTGGTGGATAGTGAAAAATAGAAGAAAGGGCTTCATGATCACAGGCAAGGGGTAGCACTCTTTCAACATGTTTGCTGCTGATGATGCATATGTGCGTAAACAAAACTAATGATAAAATCACTTGTTGGGAGCAAATGTGCTAACTTTAGCACTGGGAAATTTTTTATATATTTTTTTCAAAATTAGGGAGTTACTGGCATTACTTATTTCTCAGCTGAACGAGTTATTTTTTACCTATGAACTAAACACTACATGGTTCACATTCTCCTGCAATGGGGGAATGATGAGTTCCCTCTCAGGCTGGCTGTGCTAGTGCCAAGTACAGCCAGCAGCCATGGTCTGCTGTAACCTCACTTAGAATAAGCTGCTGCATCTCCAAAATGAACCAATGGGTTTTAACAAATTTTCATGCATGTGCTCATTTGATGTCTTAGTCAACCCTAAAAGCACACAGTGATAGTCTGAACCAATTACAAGAAGCTAAAAATTTACAAATGTTTCAAGTTTTTTTGGATACTGTGTACTACTGATATATTATGTGACCATAATTTATTCTAGCAAATATTAGAGGCCCTTAATTTTCAGTCCAATGGCAATATCCAAACTGTTGTAAATCAATGAATCACCAGTCAGTTTACATCATTCTATAGTGGCAGATGTGGAAACTTCTAGAGGTGGGATAAATGCCCAAGTGCTCAAAGAGGCTACATTACAGAGGCACCCAAATTATGCTACCTCTATCACGTACATTCATGTTATCCCCTTTTTTGTAATTATATATTTTATTCCCTCATATGAAATATGTATATTTATAATAATATTGAATAATAAACAATTTTAAGAGACAATTTCCAGACATGTTATAATGACCATCTATTCATAATGTGTGCTTCAGATTATGTTTCATTTGTTATTTTCTGCTGTGGGTATTTGTAGGTGTGCTGGAAGCTTACAACTATGAGGAGGTGCTGTTAAGCTGCACCCTGAATCTATTGCACCTAGAAACTCACAAGTCCCACATAGAGTATGTGGGAGATCAGAACAAGGGACACCCTTCAGGGCTGCAACTCCTCTGCTCCTCATGTGCCCAACCACTCAAGGGCAACTTCATCTTCTTCAGGTCTCTATTATGGGCCTACTCTCTTGGCCTTGTCCTATCCATTTATGTCTGGTTGAGCTGTTTTCAGTGGAGACCTTGCAATGGCAACCAATCATGAGCAAGTGGTGATAGAAACCATCATGTCCTTGTTTGCTTTTAGCAGCATCAGCATAGGACTTCATGGATCTTTTATCTTATATCTTATTCTTATTTTAGAATAGAAAATGACACCCACCGAGAAAAGCACATCAGTCAATACTTTTCCAATGGTAGTAAATACGTCCATGATTTTTCAGATATGCATGAGATGAGAACAAAGCAGATGAAATTGATTTCTTGACACATGATTTATGCAGTGTAAGTTAGTAGATCTACTGTCTGGAACAGAAGCCAGAGGTTTTAATTAGAGCTGTCACAATAGCAGTTTTCAAAACATTGATGCATTGACCTGAAGTGTCAATAGTGTATCTATACATGGGGAGGAGGGGTTTGCAAGAGGTTTTCTTGCCATAATTGGGCGGAGGTTTGACATCGTTTCTTGCCTTGATTGGATCACAGACCTCTATCTGTCTTCTATAATCTCGCGCTTGTGATCGGGGGGGGTGTGGGGGGAAGGTGTGACCTTTGCAACGAGAAATGAAACGTAACATGCCTCCTACTATCAAAGATGATATCCATTCATCGATGGATGAATCAGGATAGCCCCAATTTTTTCTTATTGCCGTTGAGAATCAATTGCTAAGATTGTTCATGTAATTTTTTTCCCTTTTTCTTTGTTCTACCATGGTCTTCTTTGGATATTAGCACCAGCAGATGGCAAACCTGCCAATGGTGCCATACCAGCGGTTGCCAAAACATTGGTACAGCCCTAGAATAAGCAACCTCCATGTGAAAAATTCACTTTGGGTTCACCTTAAGTAAAGAGGGAAAATGCACCAGGGCAAGTAAAAAATTAAAAAACTTAAGCCTGCATACTAAAGAGAAGACAGGAATATAGAGAGGGGGATTAACCAATGTACATTTCAAAATGGAGTATAGGAGCAGTCCACAGCATGTACCTGATGAGATCAGGCCAAAGACAGAAGCAGTAGAAAAAATATTCTCAGTCTCCCCTCCCTCTCCTTTCCCACTTCCTGTCTCCAACCCAACATGTTTTTTTTTTCCTTCCCTTCTTTCATATAGGTAGTCCCAGCATTTTCATAATTTGATTGTGATAAAAAATTGCAAGCCCATGCAGGTCATGCTGCCTCTTCCTTTCCCCGCACAGGCGGACTGTATTGTTACTGTACTCGCCTCAATCCAATTGGACATTTCCCCTTTAAAATCTTATGTTGATACATTGCTGGTACATATGGTCGAAAAAACTATCGATGACTCTCAGAAGTGATGGATAGATGTACAGGAATGAGGGACCATACTATCAGTTTTCCTATTTCCTGGCATTATTTCAGCAGTTCTCTCTTTCTTTTTAGATGTGGACACAAGTACCACCGTGAATGCTGCAAGAAAGACAGGATGGATTGGGTCTGTAAGTTCTGTTTCTTCAAAGGATCACCCAATGCTTCAGAGGTACCCCTTCAACACTCAAGCAACAAATCAGTGGCATATTTCAGCTCTCGTCAGGTTTTCCTCTTTCCTTCTAGTTCTCTCCAGTGAGACATGAAGGCAGGGGCCCTTCACCATTGCTGGATGAAAGTGGTCCCAATGATCAAAAGTATGAGGAATTCTTGAATGCATTACGGCAGAGAAGAAGACTAGACTCGGATTCCCAGATGGTGCTAGTCAGTCTCATGGATTGCTGCTCTACCAGTACCAGTGGCAGTACCCAAAGTGATCCTGATGCTGTGGGCAGTAGTTGGGCTCCTCATCTTCAGGTTGCTGCTCCAAGGCCCTTCAGATTCAAATCTGAGTTCTAGCATCCCATGGGTCAGTTGACCATCTAATGTTATGAATTGACCTATTTCATTGCTTTTGACTATTCAATGTAATTAAATTCAGCCACCAAAAAATAGCTTGGAAGAGGAGCACAGCTAATCTCATTTGTTTGCCCAACTCTGAAACTAAACATGTTAACTACTATGTGGGATGTCAGAGAGTTTTATGCTCCTGTGTTCGCTGCACCATGTGACCTGCCTGCATCCTGCATGCACATTAGTGGAATGGCATATGACTTATCAATAATTAATTTTAAGCTGTGTGCTATGCAACCTGCTGATGGTTGTGTGTACATAACATCATGGTCATAATTTTTGAGGACATATAGGGTAGGGTGGGGCTATTTGGTCATGATTTTTAGTTTTTCTAACTCCACAATCAGGGAATTAATTATACAGAAAAACCTTTGAAACCTCAACCAGTCATGTCTTTCAGCTACATATTCCACCAGAAAATGAAATCTGTAAATGTGATATTTTAGCTTGCAGAACAAAGAAATGAACATGTGGTCAGCCTGACTGAATAGCCCACCCCTGGGGCTATTCAGTCAATTATATTCTGTGTCAGTGTTTGCTTTACTGCTCAATTCCAGGGCTAACAGGTAAAAGAAAAAACGCTTCCCAAAGCATGGGTAGGCCTATCAGGACTGAAAGCCTCACTCCACCCTATAATTTTCCAAATTGGAACTGATTTAAATGAAACACAGCAAAACTTCGATTTTAGACATATACAAAATTAGACATTTCAAATGACTGTCCTGGCGTCCCCCCTTGATCCTCACCAACATGAAAGTGTCCTTGACCAGGTCCATGCGAGGCATATCCATCTCCACTTTGAGGGGCTCGATCATGTCCTCAACTTAGTATGGTATTAGTCTGACTGAATAGCCCCACCTTACCCTATAATATAACTACAGGGTGCGGCAAAATTATGGGAACACGACCCCCAACCACGGTGAAAAGACCAATCACTCAGTAAATATCTTCATTCCTACTGAAGTCTACTCAAAATGACCTCCCCTTGCATCGATTAACGCTTGCAGTCGACGTGGAAAGTCGTCCACGGCACGGTCGATCTCCTTCTGGTCGAGAGCATCCCATTCCATCTGAAGTGCCTCCTTTAACTCGGATATCGAGTTGAACTTTTCTGCATTGACAAGACCCTTGAGGCGGCTCCATCCGTAGTAGTCGGGCACAGTTATGTCGGGAGATCTAGGCGGCCACTGCTTCTTTCCGATGAAGTCAGGAAAGTGCTCTTCGATCCACTCCATGTTGTCGTTCGCAGTGTGGCATTTCGCGCCGTCTTGCTGAAAGACCCAATCATAACGCCAGCCACCGTCCTCGTCCTTCCCATATACGCCTTCTGCCCACTCCTCGATCGGCTCGAGCACCAACTCGCGGTAGAGCTTGGCCGTCATCCTCACGTCAGAGTCAATGAAAATCAAAGGGGTCTTGACGCCATGACCGAAACCTCCCCACACCATCACGCTCTTTGGGTACATCTCGCGGGCGACTATCCTTGACTCCTTAGGCGGTGGGCCGGCTGACCAAGTGTGATCATTCTGTCGGTTGTGATTTTGCTCGATATCGAACCAACACTCATCTGTGAATAGGATAAGGCGGTGACCTCCGTTGGTGAACCTCTTACTCAGCTCTCACCCCTTCTCCAGCCTCACACTCTTGTCCTTTTCTGTCAGCTTCTGCCGCTCGATGTCCTTGTATGGCTTGAGTCTGAGATCGCGCTTGAGGATACGACAAATGGAGCAGTTCGAGATGGCGAGTCGCTTGGCGAGCTTTCAGGTTGAACTTGCAGAGATGTCATTCTTCCTCCTCATTCTGTTATTCTGCTTGAGAGCCGCCATCACTTCCTCCTGCTTCGCCTTGCTTGTAGCGGTCCTCTTCCTACCCTGGCCGGCTCGATTCTTGTGGTCCCCCATCTCATTGTATCATCAAATCGCGTTGCCAACGGCCTTCCTCCCCGCCCTGAAGAAGCCGGCAATCTCCTGCTGGGTCTTCCCCTTACCACTGAGGTACACAAATGCTGGGCGGAGGTCGCTGATCTTGATCTCGTCCATTTTTGCTGGAGTTATTGTTGACGATGTCTGAACGAAAGCAATGAACTAGATGGAATAGATGAAAACTTTAAAAATGTTTGGTAAGGAAGTCGTGTTCCCGTAATTTTGCCGCACCCTGTATATCAATTTATAATAGTAAATTAACCCTTTCAGACCTGGCATCCATTCCAATGGACATTGCATTTACATTGTGCCTATGGCAATTTCTTAGGATTCTTGCGACTTTGCACTGCATATTATGCTAAAATGGATGGAATTATGCATGGCTCACTTCTATCAGAGGCCTTCTCTCACCTATTAGAATTGTAATCTTCAGTTATTTAATTAAATATGAAAATGAAAAATATGAAAACTACATATAAAGCATGAAAATTTCAATTACAATCACGAAAGAGCTAAAAAATGCTAAAAAGGATATTATTCTGATAGCAGCCTTAATTCAGGTCTGAAAGGGTTAAGAATAAATATCCTTAGCCTTGCTGAAAAAAGGGCAAAATAGATTTTGGCAGTTAGCATGTTAAGATATGAAATGATTGGTTAGAGATGATGGAGTGGCAGGCAGCTGTCACCCCCCCACTGAAACCAATACAATGACCATTTGAGGTTAGAGGTTCCCAATCAGTTCCCCAAATGGTCAGTTCCCAGTTGGAAAATCCCCCAACCTGTATTCTCCCTATTGACAAATTATACAATGGTGGCACAAAGGTAATGGATTTGTTTTAAAAAAAGTTTTCAGTCGCACACATCATGCATTGGGGAGTGCGGAGGGGTGGGGATGCAGCTGCCCTTCAACCAAGCCAGAACTAAAGTGAGGGAGTCTAGATGAATGGAAGGTAAGGGGAAAATCACAAGTCTTCTCCAATCCTGAAAGGGAGGAAATCATTAAATTATTTGTCCCCCACCTCAGGAAACTTAGTTCACCTAGAGAACAAGACAGGCAATACAATGCCATTAAGATTAATGATAAAGGTTCTCACAGGAAAGGAAATGGTTGCAGGATAATCCTCTCAGCCACCAGATTTGAGGCGATTAAGAAGATGTCTATCAAGATCTAAAATGGGACTATATATGGAGAAGTCAGGTGGCTTAGGAATTGGATTATTGTGCAGCCAGTCGTTGGATGGTGTGAGAGTTGAAGTTCATGGATTCATAAAGTTTCTGAAGAGCAAAAATGGAAAGAATATTCTTGTTCTAGAGGGCTATGTGCTCACAAAGAGCAAGATGTGCAGGGACAGAAGAACATATTGGAAGTATTTCATAAAAACTGTCAGGGAAAAATTTTAATTAGTAAGCCTCCTTTCACCATTAAACCATAAAACTTTTATCTGGTAGGGTTGTTCTGCTATTTGTTTCATTGTACCTCTTCAGAGACAAGGACGGGCATGGACCATAAATTGACCCTTGGACATGAGGGAGACTGGGTGGCATTTTATTTTGAGCTATTATCCCTGAGACAGAAATAGCATCATTTGAGCAGAAGCACTCAGATTAGGACTTAACTGGTATCTGAATTCTTGAAAACCCAGAGGGGAATTAATTCATGTATGAGACTCTACAGTTAATTGCCCTCCATCTGTGACTGTGATATGGCTATGTAACATTGGGGAACTGTCTTTCAGGGAATTGATTGAACACCAGAGTAAGAGTACTTTGGCACAAATGTAAAAGAAATAGCAGGCATCTGATTCAGGATCTTCTAAGGTGGGTAGTGCTCTCCATGACAGTGTCATCACATAGCAGGCATTGTGCAGTCTTTCATACTACTCTTCTGTTGGAGTACCAGAAGGCAGTACAAAATTATGTGACTCTGTGACTCATACAGAGCATTTTGAAGTAATTATGCAGTATTTTGCCCGCAGTGCATCCCAAGTTGCTGCAAGTACACAAATTGGTGGGAATCACTGTATTATCAGGTTCTGATTTTTTGCTCAACCTCCTTTCTTACATATATTTAAGAGAAGAAGTTGAGCTAAAATTTTCACAAATTAGAACATTTTGATGGCATTGGACGAGTAAAAAAATCAGAATAGGTGGATCATGTTAGTGTTGACTGTTCTTTCAACATCAGCTTCTGGCTCAATGTGTATTATAAACCCCATAAGAATGGTGTCATAGTACAATATTCATCTACTGTTGCAACATTCTTACAGATGGGTTGTGAGAGGGTCAAAGGAATAAAGAAGGAAAGAGTACAGACTTAAGAAATATCAGGGAATAAATAGAAAGAAATGCGAAGCTCCAAGCCAAAGTCCTGAACATGAGCATAATGACCAACCACTGAATTCAGATCATAAGCCAATGCAGGAGTGAAGCAGCAGGAAAGGTAGTGAACAGAAAATTCCAGGAAACTTATATTTTTTCCTCAAGGAAGGAATATGAATGACTCATGAATTCCAACACTCACCTCAGGGAAACTGAATATGAATGAATCTCAGCACATGTTATTTCAATATTCCTATGCCTTGGCATATCTCTTAATGCAATCTGTGAGTTCAAAGTCCTGTTTTGAACCTTCATAATTAAAGCCCAGAGAAAGCCAGGGCTCAACCCCTGTCAATGCCATCTCAAAATGGAGCAAATTCCAGTCATTTTTCAGAGATAACTGTTACATTGCCTCTGGTCTCCTCTCAAATTCCATGTGAGTGCATGGGCCAGACCTGGAGAACATGAGCAACCCTTACCCTGTCAATTTAGTTTTGGGACCCCCTTTGCTATGAATGGCAGTCTGAACTCATCCTAGCCAGGAAATATTAATATTATCAGCATGTCCATTGTTCAATGCACATACTGCACTGTGAAGCAAGTCTGAATTGTTAGTCATGATCATGCACATGCTGCTTGTAACTATGTGACAGTCTCAATATATTGCTACACCATGTTTAACCATCATTTACATGGATGGTCCTTGACTTTTGGGAATATAGCGCATATACAAGGTTGTTGCCCAGTGTTTGCAGTTCATCAGATTTCTACATATTCATATGCATTGATTTTTCTCCACATTGGGGCTTCTTGAAGAAGACATGTATTCAATTGATATGATTGACAGTCATGGTTAGCTGCATTCAACCTTTGAATTTGGGATTTAATGTTTTCAAGAGTGATGCCCTGGAATTCCAGCTGGAAATGAAAATGTTCCATTTTACTCTTCTTCTCATTATATTCACTGCAATCTAACCCTGGTCACCTCTGAAAGTCATCCATTATCAGACTTCTACTCTTTTATTGGTGTCATGGTGAATGCTTTTGGACTCAGATGATGTTTTCTCGTCACTTTTTTGTTACTGTGCCACTTAATGACAGTCCCACATTTCTTTATTTTCAAGTCACATGAATAATGTGTTCTCAAGTAACACAATTTTATTTTTATGACTGTTCCTATACTTATAGATTGCAAAAGTATGGAAATTGAGCTCAGGATTAAGGCATGACTTAAGTTGAGAACTACTCCCCTAGCTGTTATGCTTGGTATTGGGCCTATGCATTTCAAGGAAGCCATTTGTCATTATTTTACTTGATTTTGCCCATTACAGGGATATAAGGCAATTGAATCCTGTTATTCTAGACTGCCCAGAAGCCTTGACCCCCATGTGCATGGAATAAGGGAAGGTTCTGCCTCTTGTGAATGCTTAATGCTAGTTCTAGTATAGACATGCCAGGGTTATGAAACTTGATCCCATGCAAGGTGAAAAAGGTATATCATCTGCTGCTTGTCACTACTTCTGGTTTAAATTCCCTGTCCAGTTATAGATTCATTCAATAAATGTTGTTAAAGCAGCAGTGGATTAGTCAAAAGAGCTGGAAAAAAGAACATGACTCTCCATCTTGACACTGCCAGCATATACAGGGTGTTCGTAAAGTAACAGGTGGAATTATGAATGTGTGGTTTTGTTTTGTGATTTCGTTTTTATTGGTCAATCTGAAATATTAGGACTGTGATGTATGCCTTCAAACACTATGTTCACATAGATTGTTTGCAATGGACAATAAAAATTGAAGTTATGTCCACTTGCATTACTTTACAAACACACTGTACCTCGTACTGTAGGTGTTTACTTCTGGGGATAGTGTCAATACCAACATAAAAGTATGTTCAAAGTATCTGTTTTCAACTCCCAGCTCAAATTGACTCCTGCCAGATTGCCATTGTTTCATGTTAACTGTTGCTTCAATGCCAACATGAGGTGTGAACACTAACTTCAAGTTGCAGATTCACACTTTGTGTTATTCCATGTGTTAGTTTAACTAACACTTAGTTTTAAATGTGCAAACTGTGCTTGCACAAATTCTGCCTGTGAACTTGTTGGCTTCAGGTATGATTTCATTTTGCTCTTAGGTGACAAACTTATTGATGAGGACATTTGTCACAGCTCTCAGTGAAGCATGGATTTTTCTACTTTTGAAGCCCATGGACGCCTTTTTTGCCAGGGTCCTTGTCTCCATGCCTCCACATCAAGGGAGCCTCAAATATGATCTCATATCTCTTCTTAATTCTTGACTGTGGAGGAAATTGTCTTCTCCTGCACTCACAGCTGCAAATTTTCTTCTTCAAGAATACAAGTCTATATTTTCGCCCAGTATAGCCCTTGTGATATGATGATGTTAAATACTCTGGATTGAACATTCCAGCTGCCTGCATCAGTTTTCGGTAAAACCAATTCTTCAATGTCTCCATATCAAAATAGTAGAAGACTTTTGGAAGTCTTCATCCTTTGCCATACCTGAGTTTGTATTTCTCTGAAATGAAGGGATCCTGTGATCCCAAAATATACAGATTGCCATTATCACAGTGTTTATTTCTTAATGCTATCCAGAAGTTTGTCATGAACATAATGATTAAATTCTAATGAAGAATAAAGACTATGTTGGATGACAGTGTTTTTCTTTTTTCAGATTGAAAAACTTTTTTTTTCAATGACCTTTATTGACGACATTCCCTTAAAAAAAAAAAGGCTAGAGTGAGGTGATGTAGTATATACATAGAAAAGAGAACTCGTTGCATTGATCCAGGTGATGATAGGAGCATGTGGGTTGCTGTAGGAGGGCAGGGTTTTCAGAAGGTTGAGTTGGTCTGCAGCTAGGTGGTGGTGTCAGGCCAGGGGTCTCTAGGGAGGAGTGAATAATTTTTGTTAATATACATGGTCATTGTGTAATGTGCTTTTCCTATTTTTATGATTTTTTTTTGTTTTTTAATTCAGATTTTTTGTGGTTGAGGAACCCTTTTTTTCATTTTTTTTATTATTTTAATTTAATTTAATTTTTTTAAATATTTTCATTGCCTGGTGATGTTCAGCTGGAATATAGGTCTGGATAAGGCAATGGTTCAATCATGCACTCATTCATACTTGTGTGGGCGTTCCTGACGTGTCCGTATGTGGGTGCTGTTACTTAAAATCTGACTTCAATTATTATGGTAGTACCGGTGAGATCTGTAATGAAATACGAGATGGTTCAACCACAAGAACAAGAGTATATTAACAAGATAAACACAACTGACAGAGAGAGAAGAGTTCACCCGGGTGACGGAGAAAAGAACATCCACACGTATATACACGGAACCACTGAATAGAACAATGAGTCCTGAGTCTCCGGGGCGTCGATGTTCCTCCCCAGGTAGGGGCAGTCTCTCAGAGGTGGAGGGGAGGAGGTGACTCCTCCCCTTCATATCTGCTGGCCACCCCCTGAGGTCCACACTTGCTTGCACACGTTAAAATACTTCTGCTAATATGTGAAGGAATAACTTAGCTTAAGGAGTGGGTCTTGAGGCTGGTTATCTGTGGGTGAGGTGTTGGTTATGATGTTGCTTTGGAGTCCTCTGGTACACGGGTGGTACCAGGCTGTTCGAAGTGGCACCTAGTCCCCGTGTCTGTGGGGAGAGAGTAGGGTGCTTAAATAACAGGTGTAAGCATATTTATTTGGCAGATCCAGCTCCAGAAAAGAAAAGGAAGTCCTAATAGTAAAAGGTGACGTAGGCCAGGGGGCTAGTTACCCCTGACCATCCGCACGGAGCGTTTAGTTGTAGACAGGGTAAGTTCTTTTATGCTTTTTGAAACCTATTTTTTCATGGGAAGTATTTAATTCATCACTAAATAATATTGACTCTGTCACGAAGAAGTTCATCATATTTTATTCTTTGGTTGAATTTTATTATGAATTTACATCGCTAAATTCTTATTACTTTCACCAAATGATTTTATCACCAGACCTAATGAATCTACCACCAAATTCTCCCTCAGTATTTTCACCAGAAGCCATGAAAAGACCACCAAATTGTATTGAGCACTAAGTCATTGTCACATTTCTTGTGTCAAAAGAAATAAAATTCACTCTTAGCGGGCCTGGAGGGCAGAGGACACTGAATATCGCGGCTGTGAATTAGTCTCGTAGCATTCCGAGTGAATGTTTGCAAATGCCATTCTTAATCCAAACTGAGCATATGTATTCAAAATTTGAAGCTCTCACAATTCAAAGAGAGAGTCTTGTTTTCTTCAAGTTCTTCCAATGCTCCGGTTCTCTGATCAGATATTATTCTTGTGCACTTTTTCGAACCTCTTACCTTGTGCGTTGCCGTCACTGCAGGCAATGAAGGCGTCTCCTTGTTTCAATGTCCTCAAACTCCCTAGTTGCTATGGCACCTCTAATACGTAGAGCACACAGAAACTGGAAGTCAGCGCCGTACTGAGCCCCCATACATGTTCACAAGCGCAAGGAGACTGGTCCTCCCCCGAAAGCCCCCAAGGCATGATATGATCTTATAATCTAATCTTGCCATCATAGGTCTAACCGGAAATGAATAAAACTCCTTTCCTTGATAAGGTTTCAAATGCTGAAAAATTCATAAGTTTGATGATAAGAGCATATTTTTGATGCGGACTAATGCAAATTTGGTGATACCCAACACCCATGATGATGCAATCATATTTGGTGAAATCAAAAGTAAAAATTTGGCGACTGACTAATTTGGTGAAGATTTATTGAGATCTGGTGACGGAGTCAATGTTTCTGTGGGTTGAAAATATTTGGTGAGCAGTACATTAATATTAGTGAGTGATTAAATATTTTTTAATTAGTTGTGGACCGATATCATCGGGCCGTTTCGCGTCATCAAAGTACTTGAAGGCAAGGTTTGAGGCGTACTGCAGGAGGGGTTCTATTTTGGACTGGTGGTAAATATACTTTTTAGAGACAAAGTAGGGTAGCCTGAGGGCATACCTTATAGCGGCTGTTTCAACTCATTGCTATTAGGGCTGCCTTCCATGCTGGAGGAAAGTATCTGTAACAACTTCTTTCCAGATCCTTTTATGCAAAAAACGTTCTAGGCAAGAATCTCTCATTTCTGATATTCAGGGCTACACAGTGGGCTAAGGAGCCTGGAAAATGCATCCAAAATATAAAAAAAATGTGAATAGACCTGAATAGAAAATAACTTTTCCCCCATAATTCCCTGATGGCCTAAGCAGCATATCCTTCTCTCCATCCAACGCATATTTGACCACATACTGTACTTCTGGTCTCTGTGCACTGAAAGTTGCAGAAGCACTTTTACTCCAATTTAGCAACTTCCCATCTGCAAATACTCGGGAAGAAATATCAGGAATCATCAATGCGAAATCTTCCTGGTAAGTCATTCTTGTAGTAGGATACTGCAAGGTGTCCGTTAAGTCTGAAGACATGAAATGTACGACATATATGCATGGAAATTCATTCATTTGCATAAAGTGCTTAATATATCCACCATCATTGGCGTTGCGTTTAGTATGTCACTTCATGCAGGGTTTTTGAATGTGTATGAGGATCTTTAGCGTTATGTTCTGACATGCCTGCTGGATGTGTTAATGCAGATGATGAACATCCTCTAGCGTCACTGCCTACACTGAGATGCCCCCAAATATAAAATTCCAGTGGTGTGATGGATGGCGAATGTGGTGGCCACTCAGGGCCTCAGTGACTCATGATTTTGGAAATTGCCCATACAACCATGCATGGGCGTCCGCTGGGGCAGAATAGATGCACACACAAGGGTAATTTATCTTTTGTAAAATGATAAAGTACAAGGAATTATACCAGGGTAATTCCATCTCAAGTCAGCCAGAGGCTGGAGCATGACCCCCTCTGATTTTGATGAAAATTTTTAATGTGGTACCCCTCATGACCCAAAGTTAGAATGTAAAATTTTAGTTTTGGGTATGGAACCGTTTTAGCACAATAATTTGTTAAATTTTGTGAAATTAAAAAAAGGTGCACCTCTTCACACTCGTGGGCCAAAAACTTTCTGACCAAAACGAACGCAGCGAACACCATTGTTCTTCAAAATTCAGACTTTTGAAGTTATTTCATATATTTTGCTTTTCTCCTCGAGGCGACACTGAATAAAATAAAGCTATGTAAAATTTGCCTATTTTTGGTAGATTCAAAAATTTGCAAAATGTCAACATGTTCATTAACCTAGCATGTTCATCTATGTTTTTGGAATCAGCAGAAGATCTAATTATGTGTATCCCATTTTTGTCCCAACAAATTCTGTTTAAGAAGATGTGATGGCTCGAAATGTTCAAAATCACAAATTTCGCAAAAAACCAGTTTTCAATTGTTTGGTGCCATTTTCTATGCAGCTCAACAAAATTGAAAGATTTGCAGAATGTCTGCCATTTACTTGAGCAAAGGATGACAGCAATTTCAAAGCTCATATGCTTCTTTAAAAGTATACCACACGTTTTTACTCAGATCCCACCTCACAATTCCTGCCGTTGTTTTTAAGGCCAAAAACCATACTGTTTTCATTACAAATTCTTCATTTTTTTCTTCATAACTGCAATCAAAGGAAAAATGTTTCGCCTTAACACATTGGTCACCATTGTGTTAAAAACAACGACAGAAATTGTGGGCCTCAAAGTAGCCCTTACCTGTAGACCTATTATGCAACTCTAATGTCAGACAATGAGACAGCCCAGCAAACAATTTGAAACACATAACGCTGAATCAACGTTTGTAACATTGGTACAACATAGCCTTGTTTGCTGGGAGGGTCTTCTACTCGAAGAGAAACAACAGGCACCTTGGTTATAAAAAAAATAACAATGTAACTGCAAAAATTACGTGAAATAGCCATTCAGCCTGGGATACTTGCATTCCATGTTGTACGATCTTCAGCTTTGGCGCGATGTTATGTAGAGCAGTAGTGTTACCGGAACCTCTGGACCAGATGGGTTGAGTTGAACTTTTAACTCGTTTGGATGCTTCATATTGCGTGGCAAGATTGGTCTAAATGGTGCTACGGAAGAAGAATTTCCACATGAAGTACAATAAATTTATTGTATAGTACTACCAGTAAATTGCCATGCCCGATTTCCAGGGGGGGGCAAGTGCCCCCCCTTGCCCCTGGGAGCGGACGCCCATGGGTAGAAGTGTGCAAGGGCCAAGCTAATTCGATTTCTCAGGATTGGGGTATGTGGGTATTGCATTTTTTTTATAGTGGGAAACTTGTCACAACCCACCTTGAAGCCCTTGGTGACCCACCAGTGGGTCACGACCCACAGTTTGGGAACCGCTGATCTAGAGGGTCATGGCTTCCAAAGAGCATATAGAAAATATCTGAAAATGGATATTTTTCCATAGAAACTTTCCATTCCTCAATGTGTTGAGGGTGATCTTCATTTGTAGCAATATCATCTGAATGGCATTGTCTATAAGTTCGTCTTGACCTTCCTCAAAGGAGGCTAAGAAAAATACAGTCAACTCCATCATTAGAATACTACTTGGTTGTAATGAAAGTTTTTATGCGTACAAACAACGCAACAGTCCACGAAGCACAATTTTTTCGGCACA